GTTGCATTTGCAGACCTCTGTTCTAGCCTATTGGATAAGAGGCCACACGGAGGTGTTGACCTTAAAATTAGAACAGTCAGTTATTTTACCAACAAAAATGGGCTTGTTCAGGAATAGCAGAGAATTGCAATTCAAGGCAAGCAAACTATGGTAAAAACCATAGGCTTGTCCAACAAACAAAAAAGGATTTTATGGAGAAAGAGGAAGTTGGGAAGGGTTGTTTTGAAGGGAAGTCCGCTGGGGGGAACCAGGAGTTTGAACTGATTATGGTTTCTCATTTGCTGATGCTTGGATAGTCAATGTCTTATAGGAGATGCAATGTCCACCTTTTCCCGTTGGGTCCATTAAATGATAATTTCTTCCTGTTGATATTTCTGTTTAGGGTCTGTAATTGACATTTCTTCCTGTAATTGAAATTCGGTGGTACCGACAGGAGAGCTCCCCCTTCTGACCTTCAGCTGCATTTCAGGAAAGTTTCCCTTCATTAATTTTCACCAAGGCGAGCTAGATGCTCACAGGAGAGCCAGCACCAATTGCTACACACCAGATCTTCCAGTCCAGCCCCTGGCAGATTGTAGCAGATTGCCTGAGCCAGCCAAGTCCAGCAGGGGGACTGCCCAGGCAACCTATGGCGTCCCCAAAACAGTTGATCCCTGTTGTATACCCACTCCAGTTTGGGGTGATTTGTTATGATTTGTTACACAGCAATAGCTAACTAGTACACCAGGTCTAGAGGATTTTTTCCAGGCCTAGGAAAACATGAGAGACTCTGAAAGAAACTTAACGTTGGCTTTAAACAATAAGAAAGAATGGGGCTCCCGGATGGCTCAGTAGGTTAGGCATTTGACTCTTGATTTCAATTCAGGTTTTGATCTCAGGTTGGTGAGATTGAGCCCCATTTTGGAGTCTCTCTCTTTTTCTCTTCCTCTGTCCCTCCTGCTCATGCATGCATGCTCTCTTTCTCTCCAAAAAGTAAGTAAAAAATAAAAATAAATAAAATAAAAAGGAAATCACAAAGTCCACATTCTCCAGATTTAATTCATGTTGTCAAGATTTTGTGAATGGGCTCGTTCCTAATGTGTCCTTGTTACATTCTGCTTAGAAATGATTTCTGGGTCAGATTTTCCTCAGCCTACCAGAACCCCAGGAAGTTCTGCCATGTTTGAATGCAAGATGCACTGGGAGCAGAGTGATCTCAGTAATGGGGGACTCTCCTCTAATCTTTATGGGGTGCCAGGCTCCTGTTCTCTGAACAGTCCTACCAGGTTTGTGCGATTTGATTCCATCGTACAGGTGCAGCATAGAGAAACCGATTTTCAAAGCCAAGTCACCCAGTGAATGATGCGTGGCGGGGACGGGGCAGGGGGAAATCACCCAGTGAGTGATGTGTGTGTGTGTGTGTGTGTGTGTGTGTGTGGTGTGCTGCGGAGCCAAGTCCAACTTGATTGGGGCTTTTGTTTCTCCAAGCATTTCCAAACTGCCACATCCTTGACATTTGGGGCTAGATCATTGTTTGTGGTGCAGGCTGTCCTGTGTATTGTAGGATGCTTAGCAACACCCCAGCCTTGATCCGCAAGATGCCAGCAGCAACCCTTCTTCCCGTTGTGACAATTAAATATGACTCCAGACGTGGCCCAGTGCCCCCAGGGGGCAGTTGAGAGCTACTACTCTAACCCTTTGTTCTGTTGTAGTGGGTTAAGTGGTGGCCCCCAAAGAGATATGCCAAGTCCTAAAACCAGAACCTGTGACTATGACCTTACTTGGAAACAGGGTCTTTGCAGATGTAATTAAGAATCTCAAGATGGGATCATCCTGGATTATCTAGGTAGGTCTTCAATCCAATGACAAGTGTCCTTATAAGAGACGAAAGACGGGGCGTCTGGGTGGCTCAGTCGTTAAGCATCTGCCTTTGGCTCAGGTCATGATCCCGGGGTCCTGGGATCGAGCCCCACATCGGGCTCCCTGCTTGGTGGAGAGCCTGGTTGTCCCTCTCCCTCTCCCACTGCTTGTGTTCCTCTCTTGCTGTGTCTGTCTCTGTCAAATAAGTAAAATCTCAAAAAAAAAAAAAAAAAAAAAAAAGAGAGAGAGACCAAAGAGGAGACACACAGAGGCAGAAGGCCATGTGGACATGGAAGCAGAGACCGGAGTAATGTGGCCGTAGCCAAGGAACGCGTGGATCCTCCCCTAGAATTACAGAGGGACTATGGCTGTTCACACTTGAATTTCAGACTTCTGGCCTCCAGAATTGAGAGAATAAATTTCTGTTGTTTTAAGCCAGCTGGTTTGTGGTACTTCTTTAGGGCAGCAGAGAAACTCACCCTTGCTTGTGGCAGGCACATGACTTGGGCAGAGACACTGTTCACTCCCACGGGGCTCATGCTCTCTTTACAGTGAAACCCCCAAGCTGTGATCATCCACTATTTTACTTTTAATGTATGCTTCATTTTTCTCCTTCCGGAAAGTCCTAAGAACTCCCTTTGCTGTGGCCTGCAGCCCCTTGTGGTTGCCCTGGAGAGGGAGATGCATGACTGCGTGTGCCCCTATACCTAGCATGTGCCTGGCCCATTCGTTCTGCAGATGCGAAGTCACTTGTCAACCGTGGCGCAGTGGTGATCAAGAAATGTTTGTTGCACAGTGCTCTAGGAGATGAGCAGGACCACCCAGAAGGCAACCAAAGTACAGAGGGGAGAGGGGACCTGCCCAAGACCACCACCTGGAGGGTAGAACTTGAATCTTCCCCCCAACAGGTGCTCAGGCCTCAGTTTTCACACCTGTGAAATGGGGATAAGACAGTGCTTCATCCAGAAAACCGGGGGACAGTTGCACTTCAGAATTGGGGATTTTTTTTGGTGTCTTATGAAAGTAATCGAGTGTAAAAGTTGCTGTATATTGTGTGATGCCCCTGGAGATCTAGGAACAACCTTTAAGCAAAGGCATAAATAATGGATAAATGGATATAAAGGGGTAATTGACCACTGAAATGGACTGGGTCAGCTCAGGGGGAGGTGGTTCTTCTGCACCGGAAACTGGGTTCTCCTCCTGGTGTGAGTCTGGCTAGAAGACAACCAAGCCAAAGAGTGGGAAAAGGAAGGTTTTTATTTGCAACAAGTAGGGAGACTGCGGAGGATATTTCCCAAAGCAGTGCTCTCTCCCTCCTCCCTACAACAAAATTGGGGAAGTTTTAAGCTAAGGATTCATGCATATTTATGAAGGGGCTTGGCAAAGGAAAGATCAGTAGAGAACTGGGGCAAAAGTCATCAGTGTTTGAGAGCTCAAAGGGGTTTAAATTCTGCAATGACTCAGGACTGTGTGTTGGGTCAACCTTTACTTCTAAAACAGCGCTGGGAGTTTGACCCCTGATTTATTGTCTGAAATGGTAAGGCTCACCCCTGGCCTGGTAGTGGATGTTAGTTTTCAAGTTCTTTTGTTTCTTCTTCTCCTTCTCCTTCCTCTTCTTCCTCTTCTACCACTACTACTACTACTACTACTACTACTACTACTACTTCTTCTTCTTCTTCTTCTTCTTCTTCTTCTTTTTAAGGTTTTATTTATTTATTTGGCAGAGAGAGAGGAGAGAGGGAACACAAGCAGGGGGAGTGGGAGAGGGAGAAGCAGGTTTCCCAACGAACTGGGAGCCCAATGAGGGGCTTGATTCCAGGACCCTGGGATCATGAACCTGAGCTGCAGGCAGATGCTTAGCAACTGAGCCACCCAGGCACCCACATTCTTTTGTTTCTTTAAAATCATTAACTATTGAGGTCTATTTTTCTGCAATTTGAACATATCCCAGGAAGTTCTGCAATTGGACTTGACAATGTGCTTGGGCAATGAGGGCCTTTCAGGTGTAGATCACAAAGTGGCTGGGAACCTAAAATGACTTCTCTTACGTTAAGAAAGCTATGGTTCATCTTTCTTTTTTGGGAACCCCTCACCCTACCTGCCTACACCTACACCTGGAGTTCTGGTACCACCTGAATAAAAAGTTGGGTTTCCAGAGCCTTTTGGAATTGGGGATTTCAGACTGAGGACCCATAACAGTATCTTGAAGAGCTGTGGGCAGAATTGGAGAATGATGGTCAAGGGCACAATTTATTTATTTATTTTACATTTTAAAAACATTTCTTTTCAGTGTTCCAAAATTCATTGTTTATGCACCACACCCAGCGCTCCATGCAATACATGCCCTCCTTAATACCCACCACCAGGCTCACCCAACCTCCCAACGCCTTCCCCTCTAAAACCTTCAGTTTGTTTCTCAGAGTTCATGGGCACTATTTAGTGAGGTCTCAGTAAACTTGGTAGGATGGAGAAGGGGGGGGAGGGAAGAAAGGGGGGAAGGGGGAGGAGGGGGAAGGGGAAGGAGGAGGAAGGGAGAAGAGGAAGAAACAGAGAGGGGGAGGGAAGCCAGGAGGGCAGGGGGGGGGGGAGGGGGGGGGGGGGGGAAGGGGAAGGAGGAGGAAGGGAGAAGAGGAAGAAACAGAGAGGAGGAGGGAAGCCAGGAGGGCAGGGGTGGGGTAAGAAGAGGGGTGGAGAGGAGGAGGGATAAAGCATAAGAGAAGGGGAAGGAAGTAGGTGGGGGAGGAGCAAAGAAAGGGGAAAGTGGGGGGAAAGGGGGAGGGGAGGAAGAAAGCTGAAGGCGGGGAGGAGAAGAGAAGGAGGAGGGGGAGGAAGTGGGGAAGAATGGAGGAATGGGGTGGGGGGGGAGGAGAAGTTTAGGGAGGAAGGGGGGGGGAGGTGGGGAGAGGTGGAGGGAGGTGGGAGAGCAAGCCTCCAGCCCACATTTGTGAATGAGTGAATTTCAGCTCTAGCTCGTGTGACAGCTCTGGTCCTCGGTTTCTTTACCTGTAAAATGGGGTGAGCACAACAGGGCTACCTGACAGGATAAGAGCGCAGCTGTGCTTACTGGTCATTGCTGACTTTGCTGATCCCTAGCCAAGAAAGTAGCCATCCAGTGGCTGGCTCTGGGCCTGTCCTCCAGATCTGCCCCCTTGCCCCCCATTCCACCAACCCTAGGCAACTACAGGGACCAATGGTAGCATGTGGGAGGGGTGGGAGCCTGCCCAGCCCTGTCCTCCAAATGGTGCTGGAAGCAGGCCCTGGCGGCCTCCCAAGGAGAGCGCTGAGAAGGTCGGCCAAAGCAAGGCAGAAAACAAGCTGGGGTGGGGTGGGCAGGGGGGCAAAGGAGGGGGAGCTTGGAGGGAGGGATCCAAGGCAGTGGCCTGCATGGGCACAGCACAGGCAGAGCCGGGCCCAGGAGTCTGCAGAAATAGTGGTTCCAGAGGGCCCCCACTCTCAGGCTAGGTTTGGAGTCCTCTGTCTTGGCCTCATCGTCCTTGCCTCAGCTTCTGGGAACCCACGAGGAAGCGGCTAAGACTGAGGGTCTGTGCACTGCTCCAGGTCAGCCAGGGTCCAGGGTGGTGGGCAGCCAGGCCAGCGCTGGCCCGTGCCTGATCAGGAGGGCTTTTGGGTCTCTGGGTGGGCATTTAGGACTTCGGTTGTGGCGGGTGGGAACCTGGCGTGTAGCTTTTGCCGTCCCTGGGCTCCTGGGCTGTTACACTGAGATTTAACTGACAAGATTTTGCGTTATGGATTGGGGATTAGTTGAGTCCTTGAAATGTATAATTAAGACTGAGGTGGGGGTTTGGATTTAGAACCTCCTGAGGCTCTCCGGATCCCTGGAATGTGTAAGACCCAAGAGGCGTCGCAGCCTAGACTTAGAACAAACGGGGCGAGAATCCAGTACTCATAGGCCCTGGGTGTGAACCGAGACTTTCTGCTCCCCGGGGCTAGGAATCCGTTCTCCATCTAGTGCTCAGCCCTGAGCCACGCCCCTAGGGTGCGGGAGCACGTGTTTTCTAAACGCCGCTCGGGGGCGGAGGCAGGGAGCAGTTTGGCTGTCTCCAAGACAGCCGCCGCCCTTTCTGGGCCGTTCTAGGCCCCGGTCTCGTTGGCCGTCGTCTCTCTGGCCTGGGGCCCCTCTCTATGGTCGTGGCCTCCCGAAAGGGGAGGGCTTTGGCTAAGCGGCTGCGGAGCTCGGAGCAGGACAGGTCTGAAGATAGCCTTGGGGCGGGCCTGGGCTGGCAGATGGGGAGGGGCCTAGGGCTCTAGGTGGGCCAGAGGGAGGTCCAGAGGGTGACGATTGGGCCAAAGCCCGAGGGCGGGGCCAGTGGCCAGGGATGGAACCTGGGCCTGGGTTAGGGGCGGCCGGGGGTGGGGTGGGGGGGTAGCCTAATTGGGAGTGGGCGGGGCGTGGGTTGTGGGCGGGACCAGAGGCCAATCTGGTGGCGGGGCCCAATGAGTGGCGGAGTAGAGATAGAAGCTGGTCTTGGAGGAAAGCCCCGGACCTGTGGGAACTGGGGTGGATCCTGTAACCGAGGACGGCGCTAGATCACGGCAATGGAGGAAGGCTGATCAAGTGTCTGGGAAGGGCCTGTGTCTGTGGTAGGGACGAGGTGGAACCCATGTTTGGGGCCAAGTCGTGAGGCTGGAGCTTGGGTTCAGAGCTCAGCCGCTAGGTCAAGACGTGGGGCAGGTCTTGACAGTGACTGGAGGAGTCTAAGAGCTCCGTCTGAGGGCGTGGCCTGTGCTAAGAATTGGTAAAGGAGCTTGAGCCGGGCTAAGAAGAGGAGGGAGGCCTGTGCCCAGCATGGGACGGGGCGGAGCCCTGATCCGGGGGCGGAGTCTGTCGGGACCCGGCCAATTCCAGGCATGAGGGCGGGGCTCGAAGGGGGTGGCCTCGGCTTCCCAAGTAGGCGGAGCCGGGGCTGGGGGCGGAGCTCATTCTGGGGGCGGGGCCCCAGCCTTCCGCGGCCTGAGAGCTCTCCGCCTCCCCAGGATGCAAGCTCCCGGTGCAGGCTCGGCCTCCGTGGTCTCGCTCGTGCTGCTGTGGCTGTTGGGGCTGCCGTGGACCTGGAGCGCAGCGGCGGCGCTCGGCGTGTACGTGGGCGGTGGCGGCTGGCGTTTCCTTCGCATCGTCTGCAAGACCGCAAGGCGGGACCTCTTGTGAGTGCAGTCGGGGCCTGGCCCCGGACCAGCTGCGCGTCTTGGGGTGTGATCAGAGCGGAGGTGTTGCAGGGACGGAGTCGGGGGCTCTGAGGGCTTGGGGAAAGGGGTTTTGGAGACTGGGGGCGAGGCTTAGGTGAGGGCGGGGTTAGGGGCGGGGCCGGGACCTGAAAGAATGACGGATTGGGGGTCTCTGAGGGGAACTGGAGGGGACAGCTAGAGGGTCTCTGGAGGGAGAGAGTAAGTTTCAAGATTCTAGAGGCTGTTTGGGAGACTTCAGGGGGCTGGGCGATAACTTGGGGATCTCTGGGCAGCTGGTAGGGGTTCCAGAGAGCTGGAGCTGATTGGGAGGCTTGGTTATTTGGGGGTCTCTGTGGGGACTTGGTGACGGTGAGAGGCTTCTAGGGGCTCTTCAGGGATTCTTGTAGGTCCCTAGGGGCCCACGGTGGCGACCCAGTGGTCTTTGGGGGCTGCAAAGACACTTTGGAGTTTTTTAGGGCTTTCTCGGTGGGTGAGGGATGAAGGGGCTTCTTGAGACATCTGTAAGAGACTTTTAGGGTTTCTGAAGGGTGTGTGTCTCCTGGGGGCCATTTACCGATTTCTCTGGGGCCCGGGGTGCTCTTTGAAAGTTTGGGATCTGTACAGGATTTGAGGGGTTCAGAGTTTGTGGAGACGTTGCTGCGTATTCCAAGACTTGTTTTGGGATCTCCAGAGATCGTGATCTCTCACGAGGGGATTTTGGTGTCCTATGCGGGTTTCCTTGGAAGAAGGTCTCTGGGGTGTCTCCAAGGGGCATGCTTGAAGAAGCTTTTGGGGGTCCTCCTGGGGTGAAATAGGTGTTGCTGGGGATTCCCATCGCAATGAATCTTAATAACAACCCCCACATGGAATGCCTGAGCACCTGCTGTGGGTCTGCGGGGCTGATCCTCTCAGGTGAGGTGGGGGAACTAACCCATTGTAAGGGTAAAGAAACAGGCTCTGTGAGCAGCGGGGATGGGGTGAGTTGGGGGAAAGTTCCACTGCCAATTAACTGGTTCCGAACCTTCTATAACTCGTCCTTTTCTCTCCATGCCCTGGCCCCTGCCTCTGCCTTTGGTCTTTCTGACCAGATTTGACCGTGCCCTCTGTTCACACATCCTCCACAACCCCCATCCTCTGCAGGAGAAAGACTCAACCTCCAGCTGGACACTAGGTTCTGTGACCTACGCCAGAATCTGCCCACTCGCCACTCCCCATCTTCATAGATTCACCTGACCCTCACATCAGCATGCCTTGTCAGGCTCAGGATGTACCCCCTCTGCCTGGAACACGCCGAGCTTCCTTTTGCGTGGTGATGCTTTATGATGTTGCTACACTGGCCTTCTTGCTGGCCCTCAACATGTGCAGCCCCGGGGCCTTTGTACTTGCTCCTGTCTCTGCCTGGATCACTCTTTCTCTGTTCTTCCTTTTCATCACACCGTGGCTTGAATGTCCCCCCAAGAGCCCTCTCCTGACACTGTGTCCCTGTACGCCCTCCCACCTTGTTGGATTTTGGCAGAATGGCCAACATTTGCAGAGTGCTTCCTCCATGCCAACGCTAAACATGACTTCTTTAAACCCTCCCAGCAACCCTGTGATGTGGGTACTCTCTTGTCCCCATCTAACTGATGAGCAGACTGAGGCACAGCATAGTCTGGTCCCTTGCCCAGGGTCACACAGGGGGCAAGTAGTGGGGACAGGATTAGAACCTAGGCAGCATGACTCCAAAGCTTGACTTGGTGCCACCAGTAGCATCTGTCATTTGTAATTATCTGTTTTTAAATGCTTTCCAAAAAAAAGATTTATTTTTCTGGGAGAGAGTGAGCTTGAGCAGGGAAAGAGGCAGAGGGAGGAGCAGACTCCCCGCCGAGCAGGGAGCCCAGTGTGGGGCTCGATCCCAGGACTTCGAGATGAGGACCTGAGCCGAAGGCAGCCGCTTAACTAACCGAGCCACTCAGGTGCCCCATCATTTGTAATTCTCTTACGTGTCTGATTTCTTGCCTTTTAATTCTTGAGTCTCTTTCTCCCAGCTAGGCTGGGGGCCCTGTGGGGGCACAAGGGAAGCTGTGTGGGGTCTTCGTGCCACCTTGGACGAACTGGCTTCCACATAGGGTGGCACATGGCAGGAACATGGGCTGTGTGTGTTGGCTGGCAGCCCTTTTCTGGCTACCGTGGGCTTGTCTAGGCCCCAGCTGTGCCTCACTGATCCTGAGTATCTGTGCCTGGTTGTGTTCCCCCGGGGATGGAGTAAGAGCTGGGCTGACTACAACTCCCTGACCTTGGGCTTGACACACTTTTCTGTAGGAGACAGCCTCAAAGATGGCCCAACCGCCTGGTCTTCACTTTCATATGATCCCCCCCATGCTTTGAGTGTGGACTGGATCTAGTGACTTGCTTGCCATGGATAGAATACAGCAAAAGTACTAGGATACTATACCCAAGATTAGTAATAAAAAAGAATGTGGCTTCCATCACCAGTACTCTCTTGGATCGCTCCCTCCAGGAAAAGCTGGCTGCCTTGATGCGAGGCAGCCCATGTGAGTGAACTTGGAAGTGGATTCTGTCCCAGTGAAACCTTGAGATGACTCCAGCCCCAGCCAGCACATAGATTGCAGCCTCACAAGACACCTGGAGCCAGAACCACACAGTTAAACCCCTCCTGGCTTCCTGACCCTCAGAAACTGGGAGATAAGGAATGTTTCCAACTGGTAATTGTGGAGGTGATTTGTTACACAGCAATAGCTAACTAATGTAGCTTGCGTAGCCCTCTCTAGGGACTAGGATCACAATCCTAGAAAGAAGGAATGCCTACTAACCTCACTTTATAGGCTGGTGTACCAAGGCACAGAGAGATGAGGTCATTGACCTAGGATGCACAGCCAAGGAGGACTTAGGGCACTGGGGTCCCTGTTCTTAGCTACTGTGCTGTGCTGGGAGTGGTGGGGGGCCTGCACTGAGACCTGGGGATCTTCTCCCACCTCATCCCATGTCCCATATTTGTGGCCTGAAATCTGATCCCGTTTATTGAGTTGGTTTCTGTCTGTTCTGGCGCTCTGGGGCTCGAGGTGAAAACATGAGGGGGCAGAAGGAATAGAAAGAAGAGAAGGGTGAGAAGAGATCTCAGGAAGGGCTCAGAGGTGGACAGTGGCTTCTTTGTCTCCGGGTAGGGGTGGCTTGGGCTGCTGCCAGGTGGGGCAGCCCAGGCAAGTGGCTAGAGCTAAGAGCACTGGAGTCCACTGCCTGCCCACGTGGGCGTGCTCCGGAGAAAATGGGGGCGAGGGCAGGACGGGACAGGTGGTAAGGGCTGGGCCTCGCCCTGGGTGCTCATGTACCCTGATCATCACTAGCTCCAGCCTCAGTGCCCGTTTCCTGGAGTGTCACCTATGAATGGGGGCTGTGGGGGCGCTTCTTGGCTGGAGCTGCTTGCTCTGGTTCCCAGCCTTGCTGGTGGTCCTTTCCCCATGGCTATAAAAGTAGTGCCAGCTCCTGGGGTTCTTGGGGTGCTCTGTCAAGTTTATTCATGGCAAACTCTTGGAGGAGAGCTGGGTACCCAGTAGGCACTCAAATGCATTCGTGCTGGCTGCCATCAGCTGGTTGGGGGCAGGGGGGCTTGGCGGCTGTGTGGGTTGGATGGTTGGGGGCTGGGTGGCCAGAGCCAGCGTGTCTAGCTGTGGACCTCAGCTGTGCCCCTTGCTGGCCCCAGGAGTCGTACCCTCTGAGTCTCACTTCCTCCCTCTGTAAAAATAGTCGTTGTGTGGTACCGCCTCTTCAGGAAGCATGCGTTGAACACCTGCGTGCAACATGGGCACTTGGCCTGCCTCATGGTACGTGGTGAATACTTTATTAATGCTTTGTGGCAAGCCTGTGGAGGAGCAGCAGGCTCCCCCTGCTGGGGCCTGGTTCTGGGCTATTCTGTCTTGACTTGCTGGCTGACCTTGCGCATGTGAATTCACCTCTCTGAGCACCCACCTCATCCCATCACCTGTCACGTGGAAATCTTAGGACCCTACTTTGGAGGGTGCCCATGAAGTTAGCTCAGTGCCTGGCACACAGTAGGTGCTCAATAAATGCTAAGACTGCTCATCTCATCTACTCTGTTCACTGTTGAATGGGTGAGATATCAGGATCTGACCAGGGAGGTGGGTGAATTTTTTTTTGTTTGTTTGTTTTATTTTTTTATTTTGTTTTATTTTTGTTGTTGTTTTTTATTTTGTTTTTTTAAATTTTGTTTTATTTTATTTTATTTTTTTGATTTTTTATTTTGTTTCGTTTTGTTTTATTTTGTTATTTTTATTTAAGTTTTAAAAAATTTTGTTTTATTTTATTTTATTTAAATTTTTAAAGATTTGATCTATTTATTTGTCAGAGAGAGAGAGAGAGTGTGCGTGCGCATACAGGCAGGGGGAGCGGGAGGCAGAGGGAGAAGCAGACTCCCTGATGAGCAAGGACCTGGGTATGGGACTTCATCCGAGGACCCCGGGATCATGACCTGAGCCGAAGGCAGGCACTTAACCGACTTAGCCACCCAGGTGTCCCGACAGGCATCTTTTAATATTTTGTGTTTACTTGTTTTGTGTAATAGTCAGTATATAACCCATGGCACAAAATTCAAATTTTAGAGAGAGGTTTACAGTGAATGTTGTCCTCTCTGCTGCCCCCAGCCCTGCAGTTTCCTTCCTCAGAGGCATCTTCTGCCACTTTCCCAAGATACAGTTAGAAAAATCTGCACAGGCCCACCTGTTCTTTGTGCCTACAGACGCCCTCATGTTTTCCATCCTGTTTCTCACTTGGTGCTTTCTTTCCATTTTTACTTGTAATTTTTAATTTTATTAAAGTCACGCAAGCTTTGAGATGAAAGCCTCTGAGTCTTCTACCTTGAGGGGCAGCTGTGTGCCCCACCTTTCGGCCACACCCACACTTTTCCTTCCCTACCTGGAATGACTCTTACTTCTTGTCTAACTCCTTTGGGCTTGTACTCCGTG